GATCAAATACAACATGGTTTTACAGAAGGTAGATTGTGCCAGAACAACGTGATCTCCTCCTTTGAGAAGTTAACTGATTTTTTTTTATTTTTTTTTTTTTTTTAGACAAAGGAAATGCAGTAGATCTAATCTACCTGGATTTCAGTGAGGCATTTGATACAGTTCCATGTGGGAAATTATTAGTTAATTTGGAGAAGATGGTGATTAATATGAGCATGGAAAGGTGGATAAGGAACTTGTTAAAGGGGTGACTACAGTGTGTCCTACTGAAAGGTGAACTGTCAGGCTGGTGGGAGGTTACTAGTGGAATTCCTCAGGGATCAGTCTTGGGACCAATTTTATTTAATATTTTTATTACTGACCTTGGCGCACAAAGTGGGGGTGTGCTAATAAAATTTGTGGATGACACACAAAGTTGGGAGGTATTGCCAGTACGGAGGAGGACTGGAATATCGTACAAGAAGATCTGGGTGACCTTGTAAACTGGAGTAATAGAAATGGGATGAAATTTAATAATGCCAAGTGCGAGGTCATGCACTTAGGGACTAACAACAAGAATTTTGCTATAAGCTGGGAACTTATCAGTTGGAAGCAACAGAGGAGGAGAAGGACCTGGGTGTGTTGCTTGATCACAGGATGACTGAGCCATCAATGTGATGTGGCCATGAAAAAAGGCTAATGCAGTCCTAGGATGCATCAGGTGAGGTATTTCCAGTCGAGACAAGGAAGTGTTAATATTATACAAGGCACTGGTGAGATCTCATCTGGAATCCTCTGTGCAATTCTGGTCTCCCGTGTTTAGGAAAGATGAATTCAAACTGGAACAGGTGCAGAGAAGGGCTATTAGGATGATGCGAGGAATGGAAAACCTACCTTATGAGAGGAGACTCAAAGCGCTTGGCTTGTTTCGCCTAACCACAAGAAGGCTGAGGGGAGATGTGATTGCTCTCGCTAAATACATCAGAGGGATAAATACCAGGGAGGGAGAGGAGTTATTTAAGTTAAGCGCCGATGTGGACACAAGAACAAGTGACTATAAACTGGTCATCAACAAGTTTAGGCTCAATTAGGATCCAAGGAGTGAAGTTGTGGAGCAGCCTTCCAAGGGGAGCAGTGGGGGACAAAAAACCAAACTGGCTTCAAGATTGAGCTTGATACGTTTATGGAGGGGACGGTATAATGGGACTACCTACAATGGCATGTGACTCATCAGTGACTCCCAGTTGTAAAAATCCCCAGTGGGCAGAAACGGGACACTGAATTACTACAGAGAATTCTTTCCAGGTATCTGCCTTGCGGGTCTTGCCCACATGCTCAGGGTCTAACTGATCACCATATTTGG